ATAATATTAATCGATTGATGTTTTCCATTAATTTTTTAGTTATTAAATAATTTGTTATATTCAGCAAAATTTTAAATATATTTGACATTAGTTTTAAATTGGATTTTAATGAGAATTTAATAAAATGTTTAATAAATTTGCATAAAATGTATTAACTGAATGCAATTAAGCAATTGATGAGCAAAACTTTACAAAAGTAAGGCATTGTCTATATTTTAAAATTTTATTTGAAATATAAAAAACTTTAAATAAATAAATTTTTGCTACACGCCTAAACTATAATTTATATATTTAAGACATATTATGCATGTATTTAATATACTACATTTAGTTATAGTGTATTAGTTTATTTAGTTAAAATTTGTCTTATAGTTAGTTATTAGAAACTTTATAACAATTTCTTAATTAATTTTCAAAATGAAATATATTATTAAAAATTTGTAAAACAATTACTATATATGTCAATTTGATATGAATACTACATGTTATGTATTTCATTGCTTGATGCTAAATAAACATTATTATTATTTATATTATTTATAGTAGGAATAAAATAATTTATAAATAAAATATAATTAATAATTCTGCTAATGATTTATTACTTTAAATGTTATATTTATTACAGTTTTAACAATAATTTATAATCAATATTGATACTAAATATAATAACCATACAATTTATTAATTAATTAAAATGTTTACCCAGTTAATGAACAACTTTACATGTCTAACAATGGTATAAAATAATTTAAAAACTTAAACCTAAAAAATTTGATCATGGTTCACTTATTGCTTATAAGTTTAATTAATTGCTTAAATAATTGTGATTACATTATATGAATTTTAATACAGACTAACGACAAACACCTTTAAATTGATAGCAATTAAAAGTGAAATGAATTTTAACCAAAACATTAGCCATAGTGTTGTTTGATATGAAATTTTGGGTTTAAATTAATGTCACAAAACAAATAATACATTATTAATAACGGGGAGTGCAATGAAATACACCGATGGGATACACAATTGTCATACAGTCTCTCAACACAACATATATTAATCACATTTTACGGCAAATCTTTTAGTATTAATTGCTATGAAATATTGCAGGTATGGCATGAAGACTGGTATAGCTCTTGTAATATATGGCAAATGAATGATTATTGTATTTTTTAAATATTATGTTAACGTGTGTGTGAATTGTATACATAAAATCACTTATACATGTAATATGCAATTGAAAACAAATTGAGACACAATTATTTTGTTGCTAATGGAAAGAGAAATTGTAATATTAATATTTACCATATTCTAACATGAACTAATTATACAATGTTTTTATATTTGAAAATTATATTACTATTTTATATTATAAATTGTCTAAAATTTGTGATTAGTGTTCAACAATGATTTATTATACTTATATTTTCTATACTAATGTTTTAATATGAAATTGTTTGTGAAAATAAGATCAAAGCTCTTCGTGTACTCCAGAAAGTGTTGGGTTTGGGAAGAATTGTCTCCAGAATTGGCATTCATTAAGTCGAGGACCACTTTTGAGATTTGAATTTCTTTTATCGCCATTGATTTCAATGAATTCACGCCTATTCTCATCATAGAGTGGCCATACTGGTTTGGGAAGAATTGTCTCCAGAATTGGCATTCATTAAGTCGAGGACCACTTTTGAGATTTGAATTTCTTTTATCGCCATTGATTTCAATGAATTCACGCCTATTCTCATCATAGAGTGGCCATACGTTGTCACCAAAATTATTGTCCGGTACTCTAATGTTAATAATATATTAATAACGATAATTAATTTTAATTAAATTAATATTTCAAGTGTTTGAATAGTTAACTAAGTTATACATAATGTTATTTCATAGCAAACATTTAATTAATCATTAATGCACTATAAAGCATATTGAATTACATGATAAATTAGGGAATTCTGTACTTATTTCTATTATCATGAATTTAAGTTTTGGCTCAAAATCAAAACAATATATCAGTTATATATTTAGCAAAATAAACGGAACTTAAATGAGAAACAGTGATTGAAAAAAACTTTTTATCAATATTTTCCAATTCATAACAAACATTTAAAATGTTAATATGTAATAAAACTAATGCCCAGATCTTATGACACAATGCACTTGACATACAATGCCATTGAGATTAGATTTGCAAACCAGACAACAGACTGTAGTTATCATAATAAACACACTATAAAATTATTAAAATAATTATGCGCCCAAAATGCAGGGCATGTCTCACCCGTTTCGTGCAAAACTGGACCAACTCTTCATCAAATTAGTTGATAACTGTATTTCGGGTTCGCTGTAGCGGTTTGGGTAGCGGTGGGGCAAACCAAACACATACTGGACTTCGTCGAAATGCGGTGAACCCATCCATTGGCCCCAATAGTTGTCAAAGTGTTTAATGTGCGTAAACTGATAGTAGTATACGTGGGCTCCGCCGACGGTCGACACGCCGTCCGCCAAATACACGGACGGGCAGATGAACATTGAGTCGCCGATTATGTCGACCAGCGATTGTCGCACCGATACGTAGTCTTCTTC